AGTGTATCCCATTGTGCGGATAATTGAAGAAAATCTTCCATCAGATTTTTTTAAATATCAAAAATCCATGCGATTATTTAATAATCAAAAGAATTTATAATTCGTAAGTATTATTTAAAGAAATGAAAATTGAGGTGAAGCATAAATTGTTCTAATGGAGACGTCGAGTGGAAAAATGATAAAGAAAAAAGAAAATAATCTTCTCGTCGGGTGGTATACAGATACAGGGGCGTGTTTCAGTGGCTATAATTTGCATGGAAATTTTTATCGGGAGCAATATCCGGCAGATGCGTTTTGCGAATTGGAATAATAGCCGACGGTGGAAAAGCGGGTTGTACGGAAATAATATTGCAGTGCTGAGATTTTTCCCTGTTCACCCTGTCCCCGGTACATTCTCCCACCGCCACCCACCCGACGACAAAAAAAGTGACAGAAAAAAAAATTTCTATAATCGTCACTCGTGGATTTTATCGTCGCCGTATGTTAATTTCATTTTTTCCTCGGGGCGTTGACGGAGGAATAAAACGTCAGACTCAATGAAAAAATTGCGGTAATTCATTTATTTTTATTAACGTCTCTCATAATTAAAGATCAGCAATTACATTCAATTGAAGCAAGTGATACCTCACATTTCCGAAAACAGTAGAAATTATTATAAATTATTTGGAGATAATACATGAATTATAATTCAATGAAGAATTTTTTAAATTTTTAGAAGAACTCTTACTTGTAAAATAAAATCAATAGAATCTGTTGGATAAAATAATAGCGAAATACTGAGGTTAAATAGCTCGGTCGATTGATCCCAGAAAAAGCATAAAAAGCCCTCGAATATGAATGAATTTAAAGCGCAATTTACGTTATAATCCGTATCCATGATCCACTCGAGAATTCTTAGCTCCTGGAAATATCCCGCTGGGTTTTATTCCACCAATCGCTGCCAAGTGTGTGTCTCAAACCACCCAATGGAAATAAAATGAAAATAGGTATGACGGATTTATATCGTATAATAGGCACATATTATTTTGCGGTTGGTATAGTGTACCGAATAATGTGAAGTACTCGGAGAATCCTGCGGTGAAACACCCCGTCGTCTTCTCATTCTTCATTTCACCCAGGTTACAACAGCTCAATGTGTGCCCCCTTTACCTTCACCCCCTTTCTCCAATGTACTTTAGCTTTACAATTTTTTAAATCCTATATCATTTGGTCCCACAATGGAAAACAATTCACCGCCCAATGGCATCTCAATTTCAATTTTATTTATATTACCGTCTCCCTCGTAGACAATTTGGACAATTGCACTATTAAATATTCATCTTAATTTCCAGGATTGAATTTTTTTGGTGGAA